CAAATACAACTGCTTCACGGTAGAAACACGAATGGGACAGAGGTACCCAAGCAATTGACTTTTATACAAAGTCTTCCTCTGGTAATATTTTCATCATCATTTTCTGGGATATTTTCTAATATTGTTGACAGACAAATTAAAAAAAAGGGCACTTTGTACAACAGTCGTCTGTATTTTGCATGGGTGCCATTGTCACATTTATGTTTCTGCCGTAATGCTGTGTTGACTCTTCAAATTGAAATTTGAGGGGTCAGATGATTATGGCAATATAATTACAGGGTATAGAGGCCTAGTATTTTTATCGCTTAAAGAGGCTTCTCATTTATCTAGTACCCTAAATAGGCAGGTTTATAGACAGTTGTCTTATTTATAGAGAGATGCCGACTGGAGTATTTTTACTTCGTACCTGTTCTATTCAAGTGTAAAGACTTGAAAGAAAGGGATTGTTAAGAATGGTGTTTGACAACCCCATTGCTAGCAATATGCCTTATTAGGTCGACCTCCACGTGGTTCCCCCTGGAAACCATCGTGAACAATTCTTGTTGAATTCGTCACGATGGGCTAACTGACCTACTTCATCCTCACCTATCATCCTTCACTGGTGCCCCGCCGGTGTATACTGATAGCGCGGGTGGGGTTACCATTCCATTATCATCCATTAAAAAAAAAAGACATTTTTCAAGGATACTCTGCTGGTCGTGTCCGTTTTCCTCTTACTTTATATTTATATTTTATAAAGAGTTAAGGATACGCAAGCTGAAGTGACAATGGGCTGGTCACATAGCTCGAAGAACCGACAACCGATGGGAAAGAAAGGTTCTTGAGTGGCTACCACGTACAGGTAAACGCAGTGGAGGACAACCCCCCACTAGAGAGGGGAAAGGGATTGTTAGTAATGGAGACTAAGAATCCCATTGCTAGCAATATACCCAACCAGGTCGACCTCCTCGCGGTTCTCCCTGGAAACTATCATTGTTAATTCCTGATGAATTCATCATGATGGGCTAACGGGCCTGTTTTCATTCTCATCTATCACCCTTCACTGGTGCTCCGCAAGCGTATCCCGTTAGCGCAGGGGGTGTAACCATTTCATTTTCACCCAAAATGAACTTAAAAAAAACCCCCACTAAATGGAGTGACGACCTGAAGTGCATTGCGGGGAGTCAGTGGATGCAGGTAGCTCAGGCCCGATCTTTATGGCAGTCTATGGGGGAGACTTATGTCCAGCAATGAGCAGATATTGGCTGAAATAATGATAAAAAATTGAAGATCATTTAAATTCTATACACAGTGTATCACGCGACTTTTCACTATCATAATCCAATTATAAATTTAATTTATCACCCGCTGTTAATAAATAACACTTTCGTTTCGACATTTCATACATTTTTAATCACTTACTTATCGTACATACTCTTAGATAGTTTTGAAAAACAAAACAAGTACGGAATAGACTGAGATATTTGTAAACAAACGTGTCATAACTTATCCAGACCAGGGGGGAAGGGACTGTTAGTAATGGAGACTGAGGGTCCTATTGCTAGCAACACACCACTCTCTACCATCGTACGGGTCGCCATCGACAGGGAGTTCATCCTCATGTCCTACAGCCTCAATGGTCGCGTACTGCGCGGTTTCAGAGATGTTTCCTCCCACGAACACTCAGGTTGTGGAATGAGCTCCCTGCCGAGGTTATCCCAAGAGACTACAGCATGGGGTTCTTCAAAAGGGGGAGTAAAGAGGGTTCTTCAGGGTCGGCAACGCACGCGTAATACCTCTGGTATTGCAGGTGTTCATAGGCTACGGTAACCACTTACCATCAGGGGAGCCGTATGCTTGTTTGCCACCTCAGTGGTATAAAAAAAAAAAAACTCCGCCAGGGATTTCCAGGGCGTTACCATTCCATTATTACTTATTATCATTATACCAAATAATCAAATCCCATTACTAACAATCTCTTAACCTCCAAATATTTGGTATATTTTTTTTTATTAGATGAAAATGGAATGGTAACCCCGCCTGCGCTAACGGAATACGCTGGCGGGGCACCAATGAATGGTGATCGATGAGGATGAAAACAGGCCAGTTAGCCCATCATGATGAATTCATCTGGAATTAATCATGATAGTTTCCAGGGGGAACCGCGAGGAGGTCGACCTGGTTGGGCATATTGCTAGCAATAGGATTCTCAGTCTCCATTACTAACAATCTCTTTCCCCCCAATTATTTGGTATAAGGAGCCTCCAGTGTGTGAGTCCAACTCACACTTGGCACGCATTTCTTTCTATGCATTTATTCTATTTATATTTTAAGTCCAATTGTATGCAATAGTTACTGCTACGTTATATTGAAATTATGCATGCTCACTTATTTATTTAAATTTAATACGCACTAATTGTAATATAATGCGCCATACTATTGTTTTATGCATCGATCAAATTCATAATGTCGTGCAAGCAGATATATTTAAATTGAAACTTATATATAAAGTAATAAGATACAAAATTGTATGTACACATCATAATATACAGAGATCATACTTGCAAATTCACATAATCCATTCCAAACACCATACAATGGCATCTTCCCACATTAAATACGAAATTGGCTTGATCTCAGATAAGTTGATTTTGAAATGTATATGAATAATATTAGTGAAAGACAATAAATTACATAGTTATATCAACTAGCACTATCTAGGCTGAAACTCAGGTGAGTTTTTTTTTTTAATGGCTGATAATGGAATGGTAACCCCCGCCTGTACTATTGGTATACAATATCAGTGAAGGATGATAGGTGAGAATGAAAAGGCAGGTCAGTTAGCCTACCGTGACGAATTCAATAAGAATTGTTCACGATGGTTTCCAGGGGAACCTGATAGGGTCAATTGCTAGCAACGGGGCTATTAGACCTCATTAATAACAATCCCTTTCCCCCCTACAAGTCTATATTAGCTATTAGAGCGTTCTGTCACTTTCTTTAAAACTGGGAATTTAGTAAGAAAGAAAAAGGCATAAACACTTCTATAACCAAAATAGGTTTACGAGAAGTTTGACGTTTTTATGAATAAGAGAACGAGAGTATCTTTCAAATGACTTCAAAAACGGAGAAGGTTTATATTCGGTGGTATTTGTTTTTTTTATGTCCCCTCATAACCACGTCTGCTATAAACCGATTTAAAAAAATCTTAAAGGATATATTTCCAGATTAGTTCTATATAATTTTCGTCAAAATCAATTCAATTGTTTTTGAAACAAATTTGTTTTTTCTATTATTATTGAAGTTGGTTTTTTTTGTAGTACACAATATGTACAAATTGGAGTGGCAACCAGCCTGCGCTATTAGTATACGCTGACGGGGCACCAGTGAGAGATGATAGGTGAGGATCAGGATCTTTGTCCTGGAAACCAATGTGGTTAATTACTGATGAATTTGTTACTGTCCTATCTACATTTTTGCTCGGTATCCTCTAGCTATCCAACAAGTGCATCCCGATAGCGGAAGCGGGATTACCATTTTATTTTCATGGCATACTTAACAACAGAAATACCTAAGACATAACTATCTATGAATGGAGTTGAAGCAAAATCCGAGGAAGTCATCATCATCATATTAGCGTGTAACTGTTGACTGCTGAACATAACTAGTAGTTGCCATGCTTGGCAAGCGGATTGGCAACCGCAGTCAGGCTTTAGAGATGTTTTAAGAGGGACGCTGCTGCCCATCCCTCGCTCTCCCTTGTCGTCTATTACGACACCCACGAGAAAGGAAGGGGTGGCTTATTCTATGCCGGGATCACACGGCCACTCGAGTCTGAAGCAGTATTACAACAATATTAATAAGATACCAATAAATGAAATCTAGAGGAACTTGAAGTATGGTAAACCTAATTCTAAAGTAATTGCAAAGAGAATTATTAAAATAGGCTTAGAATTGCACGAAAAGAAATATAAGGGAGTATTACTTATTATTATGCTGACGTATTATGTATATGTATATATATATATATATATATATATATATATATATATATATATATATATATATATATATATATATATATATATATATATATATATATATATATATGTGTGTGTGTATATGTATATGTTTTTTATGTATTTATTTATTCCAATATTTCTACGTTTACAGGGTTTATGTATTTTGTATAATTTATAATGTGCAATTTGTATTATTCTTGTGTGTGTGTCTCTTAGTGTTTATACAATGTACGCAGATCGTATGACTGCCTATTTTTATTTTTTTTTAAATAACATCCATTTTACATGAAAAGGTTTGCTGGAAGAAATTTCTTATTAGAGATAAGCTTGCCTTTGTACATTACGTCTAAAATGAATTCTGGTCAACATTATATTTTGTGTAGAATAAAGGAAATAAATAAAGAAAAAATTATTTAGTACAATTATACGACGACACCTAGACAGAGGTTAAAAATAACTACGAGTAGTAATAATAATTTATTAAATGAACTAAATACGTGGAGAAAAAAACAATAAATAATATGAGACGAAACATCATGTATTAAGTGATACGCATAAAAAATCCAGACGAATCGAGAATCTCCCTATTTTAGTATCGCTTAAACTATTACATGACACAAAAATGATTGTAATTCGTTCGTAACGTAATAACAATAAAAGTAAAATAACAAAAAAATCGAAAAGGAGAAAACAGCATTGTAAACAAACCAATCACCCATACAAGCTTCAATACAAATATTTTTTTCGAACGCACATGTACCTATAGTGAAAAATAATTAAATCAACGAACTACCTATGCGGCGATTGAAGGGTCAATATTTTGTAATGTAATAAAAAAAAAATATATATCGTATTACTTTTACATCAAAACACGAATCAGTGGTGGGGATATTGAAATACGATTTAACCAGTAACAAATAGAGTCCAATTTAGAATGTGGTATCCGTTAAAACACTCCGTACTTTGTGCTCGTGCGCAGTTTTAACCATTACGCTGTCGTTGACGGAGAGGTGCACTCGTTACTGCTTTTTTTTTTTTGCAAAAATATTGTGTTGTGAATGTCACAGTTGTTTGTTTTTTTTTTTTTATAAGTGCTGTTGGAATTTTAAATTGTGAGTACATATACGTATTTTTTATTATTTTTACTTATTACAGTTTAGAAATACTTAATTAAATTTATAAAATAAGTTTTATAAAAAAAAATAAGTTTTGGTTGAGAAAATCTATTAAAATACAATACAGATACTATTGAAGATTAATATAAGTGTCCGAAATGTAAATAAGAAATTTTATATTCAGTTTCTTCTTTACTTCCTTACATTAAGTGTTATTTAGTTTACTGCTTGTCTAAAGAAATTTATTTGAATACAAAATTAAAATGCAATAATGAAATATTTTCGTACACGTATATGTAAACTACGCGTAAAAATTAATTAAGAGTTTTCTGTCTATGACTAAAGTTGAAATCGTATTAGATCAGTATTCGTGTGAAGATAGAAAAAAAAAATCTATGCAACCAAATTAATAAAAATATCAATGAAAATCGTGATATATAAATAAATTAAAATTAAGATCAAGTCAAGCGTAAAAATATATAAATAAATATTTTATATTAATATAATATTAATACACATATATATATACATTCTTTATTGCACTAAAACATACAGTAACAACAAGAAGTTAACAACAATGTTAGCAAAGGCGGATCTCTAAGAGAGATTTCCTTCAGTCAACCTAACACAACGGCATATAAACATAATATTTTGAAAATTCAAATTCCATTGTTTCTGCCTACCCTAATGGGATACAGGCGTGACAGATATGTATGTATGTATGTATTTTGAAAATTTTAATTTTTAACGGAGTAAACTTTGAAAATAAAGTTACACCACTAAAGAGTTAGACGAAATGTTAAACTTAATGTAAACCGTGCCGGTAAACTGTGGCGGAGTAATTACTGAAACGAGCCTGTTGCTATTATTATAAGATTACCATCAGAATTCAGTCACATGAGACTGCATCGCTTTTACAAACATCATTATTGTCTTAGAAAAAAATAAAATAAAATCCACAGTAGGTCATACTTTTTGGTTCATTTTGTACGGTATTTTTTTTATACAACTTAGAATGGCAAACAAGCTGACGGCCCACCTGATGGAAAGTGGTAACCGTCGCCTATACACATGAGCAGTACCATGGACATAACAGAGTATACTGTTTCGCCCATGATACCCCCCATGCGTTGCCATTCCTGAGGACTCAGGTGTTATTCCTCTGTACCCTGTAAATTCATGCCATATCCCACCCTTCAAACCGAAACACAGCCATACAAACACAGCTGCTTCACGGTAAAAACACGAATGGGACAGAGGTACCCAAGCAATCGACTTTTGTACAAAGTCTCCCTCTGATAAAAATGATCATTTTGACTTCTACTTCTCTTATTAAGGAACCTCATATTTTTATTTATTTATTCATTAGTACAAATATGTGTACATGGCGGACTTAATGCTAAAAGCATTCTCTCCCAGTCAACCATAGGGAAGTGTCAGAATACTCATATATTTTTTCTTAAATTTTTCTCATGTACAAACATTATCTAATTAAATTTTTATTATATTAGTAACATGAGGTACAGTATGGGAGAGTACAGTAGAGACTACAGTGTGGGGTTCTTCAAAAAGGGTATATTAAGTTTTCTTCAGGGTCAGCAGCGCGCACGTGACACCCCTAGTGTTGCAGGCGTCCATAGGCTACAGTGACCGTTTACCATCAGACGGGCTGTATGCTTGTTTGCCACATTTGTGGTAATAAAAAAAGACATCCTATAAAATCGATTGAAATTCAATGTGAGCCTCTTCTGATACCTTGGTTTTTAGACAGTAAATTACATATAAATAAAATTAAGTGAATTTTAAGAATCAGATCAGCGGGTCTACCGTGAAATGAAATTCCGAAATTTCGGACTCAATTTCGTGTTTTTGTTTATACCAAAATCGGTCCAATAAATGGAGTTTAACATTTCGTTCGTCATACATCCTATCATAAAAGTCCAAAGGAACAGTATTTTAACATTTTTAATATTTCCAAACGGCATGTATTATATAATTTCAACATCAAATTTGTGTTTCGTTTGGCTCCGAAATTTCGGAAAACATTTCATGGTAGGCCCTCTGGTCACTATCCATCAAGATATAAGCATATTTAATGAAAAAAGAAAATTCACCAAATTGCAATGTCTGTGGAAAAGTTGAAGATGTGCAGCACCTATTGATTAACATATCATAAACATATTAATAAATTTGATATGGGTATTGTTCAGAGCATAATGCATTCTCCTACTATCAAAATTGCTTTGTGCTTAAGTGAATTAGTAAGTAGTATTGTTTAGTCATAATTATAATAGTAGATAACATGTTTAGATTTTATGGGATTGACATGTTAAAAAACAAAAATCCCAAATTAAACGTAGATTAAAAAAAAAATCGATTGAGCCTTTTACGCACCCAGTGATAATGAACAAACAGACTCTTTTCACATTTATATTATATCGTTAGTATGTTTACGCGATATATTGGTTGACTCTAAGCTGATTTTGGCGCTGTATGGAACCTGGCATAGAATAGGCCACCCTTTTTTTCCCGTGGGTGTCAAAAGAGGCGATTAAGAGAGGGCGAGCGATGGGCAGCAGCGTCCCTCTGAAAACACCTCTAAAGCCTGACTGCGGTTGCCAATCCGCCTGCCAAATGTGACGGTTACGGGCAAAATCCCCCAAGGGGAGGCTTATGTTCAGCAGTGGACGGCTAAAAGCTGATACGATAATGAGGAAGCTGATTTTGATATTTTTTTTACCATGATAAATTTGTGCCCACTTTGGTCTTTTTTTTACACCACTGAGGTGGCAAACAAGCATACGGCCCACCTGATGGTAAGCGATTATCGTAGCCTATGAACGCCTGCAATACCTGAGGTATTACGCGCTCGTTGCCGACCCTGAAGAGATCTCTTTACCCCCCTTTTGAAGAGCCCCATGCTGTAGTCTCTTGGGAAAACCTCGGCAGGAAGCTCATTCCATAATCTGAGTGTTCGTGGAAGAAAACATCTCTGAAACCGCGTTGTACGCTACCATTTAGGCTGCGTGAATTTCCTGTCGATGGCGAGCCGTACGATGATAGATTTATCAAGAGCCGAGAGAACGTTTGAAGTGTGGGATATGGCGTGTTTTTACTGGATACAGAGGAATAACACCTGAGTCCTCAGGAATGGCAACGCATGGGGGGTATCATGGGTGAAACAGTATACTCTGTTGTGTCCATGGTACTGCTCATATTATTAGGCGACGGTTACCACTTTCCATCAGGTGGGCCGTTAGCTTGTTTGCCATTTTAAGTTGTATAAAAAAAAATTTAAATCGGTTTTTTGTTGCATACAATCTTTAATTATTTAGAGAGTAAAGAATCAATTGCCATTTTAAAATACTGTAACTAATGCAGCCCTTTTTATTATTTAGTAGAAATTGCCATTCTAAACATAGTAATTTTAGTAGGAATTCCAATAAATGGCAGTCAGATTTCACAAAGTACCGTACATAATTGGCTTGTACGATATGTAAAAATGTTAGAAACGATATAATATCGTCGGATGATCGTATCGCTGTCCAATTATACCGGGCTAACGATATGTAACGAATCTTCTGTATGCAGATTTTACTTTATGATATGTCGTATTAAGTGGTGATTGTCTATGAATAATATATATATATATGCTATTTCGAGGTTTTATTTGCATTAATGTAAGTTATATAATTCTTAGATGCAATGTATCCGCACTAGCTATCTGCTTTAGGGTTGCCAGTTTCTTGAAAGAATATTATTAACAAATATAAAAAAAAAAAATTGTAAGAGAAACAAACTCTTTAAAAAGAGTTTGTTTTAAATAAAATATACTGTGTTTATATACTGTGCTTTTTCAAAATATGTTTTATAAAAATTTAAGTTTATAGTTAAATAAATAGAATTTTGTTAATAAAATTTTATCCATCGTTACAAACTTTCACATTTATTATAAATATTAATAGAAATATTTTGACCTTAAATAAACCTTAAAAAGGATCAGAATAAAATTTTCTAAAATATAAAGAACTATTAATAAATTAAGATGATAATCCAAAACAAAAGATTCGGTTTAATTGTGGCACAGTTATATGTGACTAATACGGTTGTATACCCTATTTATTTACAAAAGTTTCCTTAGCAAAAAAAAACGACAGTAACGGAAATAGTAGGTAATCTAAGTACTCTAATTTTGAAATTAATAAACGAATAAATTATTAAACAGTGTGCAAAAAACATCGATGGTCGAAGAGACGATTCATAGACAAAATTCTGTAAGAATTTTAAAGAATTTGAAATTAGAATGCGGACTCACATGTTCATCAAATGTTTTGGATAATTTTAGCATTATACGTTCCATAAAGAACACGAAAGCCATAAGTACAATCACCATTGTCGATCAGGGAAAGCACTGTCGTCCCCATGGCCCCTGCGTCGTGCATAATAGTCTATGCACCATGCCTACAGATGTGCAGTGAAAGTCTGGAAGCCATAATTTCCATTGTTATTGAACAAATTTGCAATTCATTCCAAAAAGTCATGGTGACTGTCAAGAATTTATGTTAAACTACCTATTGTGTAAGTACAGTGATATAATTGACAGAAAACCGTTACAAACGACGTAAATTATAATATAAAAGTTTATTATTATAATGTAAGATTTTACAATGCAACCAGCTTTTACCAGCAACTTAGTTTTCTTTATACTATTGAGGTACAACCACTCTTTGGAATCGACTTCCAGCAGCAGTGTTTCCGAACCGATACGACAACATAACTTTAAGAAAAGAACATATTCCTTTTTAAAAGGCCGGCGGCACATCTGCAATGCCGTTGGTGTTGTGGGTGATCATGGGCGGCGGTAGTCATTTACCATTAGGTGAGCCGCATGCTCGTTTGCCCTCTGTATTGTAAAAAACGTGATACGACAACAAAACCTTCAAGTAAAGAGCATATTCTTTTTTAAAAGGCCGGCAGCACACCTGCAATGCCGTTGG